TATATATATATATATATATATATATATATATATATAGAAATCCTAAAACTAAAAACATACTAGGAATTCTAAAACCAAAAACAAAACAGATTAGAAATCCTAATAACCTGTCACCAAAACAGATTAGGAATTCTGTTAACAAAACAGATTAGGAATATATATATATATATATATATATATATATATATATAGAAATCCTAAAACTAAAAACATACTAGGAATTCTAAAACCAAAAACAAAACAGATTAGAAATCCTAATAACCTGTCACCAAAACAGATTAGGAATTCTGTTAACAAAACAGATTAGGAATCCTAATAATCTGTCACCAAAATAGATTTGGAATCCTAATAACCTGTTACCAAAACAAATTAGGAAACATATTAAGAACCTGCTATCCAATAATTCTCCACCTCGGTGAAGTATTTCTAAAACTGAGCCGACACCAAACATGAGCACCACTACGTCGTCTCACCAAATTTGGATGCGCCAATGTGATTACTTACATACCCCTCTCCCAAGGGATCAAGTTACCCGTAGTTCATCCAAATGGTCGTGAATGACCTCAACAATCACTCACGGCATCCCAATGATCCGGACCTAGGTCGTGCATGTATCTCGAAACCATGCTCACTGCCTGTAACAAATCTGGCTCTGTACAAATGAACTTATCCTCCTCTGTAGCTCAAAACCCTAATGGCTGAGTCATATCAATTTCCTCATCAAGATCACTATGAAGAAATGTTGTTTTTACATCCAACTGATCTAACTCTAAACCATATTGTGCCGCCAAAGCTAGCAAAATCCGAACCGAAGAATGCTTCACCACTGGAGAGAAAACATTATTATAATCAATACCTTCCTCCTGTGGATAGCCCTTCGCAACCAACCTAACTTTGAACCTCATGGGAGTGCCTTCAATGCCCTCCTTCTTTGTATACGCCTATTTGCAACCAATTGTCTTCCGTCCTTTTGGAAGCTCGACAAGCTCCAATGTGTCGTTCCTATGCAGAGACTCCATCTCCTCCTACATAGCCACCTGCCATAAATCAGCCTCCGAACTTTTCTCGACCTCTCTGAATGTAGTAGGAACCATCTCATCGACACTCTCCATTGGAAGTGCAAATGCAACAATTGTGTCTGTATACCTAGCTGGCATCCATATGTCTCTCCTCTGTCTCCGAACCGTAATAGAATCCTGAACCTGAGCCGTCGGTCCCTGATCCTGCTCAACTGTACATGTATCCTCCAAATCATCATCGTGCTCACCTGGCGTCACCTCGGTCAACACTCTAATGGATACGGTCCTATCTGGATAATGTGGAGCTGTATCAATCTCTATCACCTGTGATGTATCCAATGTCGGGTCGCTCTTCACCTGATGAGAGCTAGGAAGCTTCAAGATATAAGCCTCATCGAATGTGACGTCTCTTCTCAGCACAATCTTCTTACCAACTGGATCCTAATGCTTATATCTCTTGACACCAGCTTGAATCCCGTAAATATGGTCTTCCTAGCTCAAGATTCCAATTTATCTGTTCTAACATGATAAAATGCAGGACACCCCACCTGAATTGTACTCACCATCGTCTTGCTGCTTTCACCAACTTCTTTTCTCATTGCAAACCACTCTAAATTATAAAGAAAGATTAAAACTTTGATAGAAATTGTGAAATTACACAACTGAATCCTAGATAGAATTCCAACATGATCTCCTAACCACATGAGGAAAGCGAGATCTTCAATGGTAACTCCATAACGCTATCTCAACCAAAGCCTAGAACTCCAAGAATCAAGCTTCCACAATGAATCTTCCTCCATCCAATACCAAAATCCTAGATCTCAAATCTAGAGCTCTGATACCAATTATTATACGTCGTGCAGAAGCGTGCTCGACAACCAAACGAGTCAGTGAGCGATGAGAGAAGAGAACCACCAAACCAAATAACGAGTGCAATCACTAAAAACATGACACAAATCAAACCAACATAGAGAGTTTACGTGGTTTGGTAAATTACCTACGTTCACGAGGAGAGGATGGGGAGATTTTACTATATGGAGGAGAAATACAATGAGTTACAACTCACACAATCACTCAAATATAACCCTAACCAAAAATCTCAACTCTCTCATAATATCTCCCTCTCAATATGCTCAAAAGACTATTTTTTTCTCTCTTTTAATTCTCTGATAAACCGTTCCATATATATAGAAATCCTAAACCAAAAACATACTAGGAATTCTAAAACAAAAAATAAAACAGATTAGGAATCATAATAACCTGCTACCAAAACAGATTAGGAATCTTGTTATCAAAACAGATTAGAAATCCTAGTAACTTATTACCAAAACAGATTAAGAATCCTAATAACCTGTTACTAAAAGAAATTAGGAAATATATTAGGAACCTACTATCCAACAAATCCTTATATAGATTTTTTATGTTCGGTGGTTCAAGAAAAGGTTATGTCTCCTTAACCCATCACTTAACCCTTTATCAAACAGTACTTCAGGTTATGGAATGGATTAACTATATTAATTCTCACATTAACTTTCAAATAGAATTAGTAGATCTAGTCTAAAGAGTGAAGCGGGTAATATGAAAGTTTGGAGACTGTTGAAGATGAATTTTGTAATTGATTCAAATTTGGAAAAATAATCCTAGAATCTCAAGATGTCATTCGCGATGTACATAGTACAAAACAAGTCTGTCCAAACGATTATTAGAACTGTTTGGACAAGTCGAAATAGCCCAAACGGTTTAAACCGTTTGGGTTAATTATTCTAAACGGTTTAAACCATTTGGGCTATTCAAAATTCCCAAACGGAGCTCCCAAACGGTTTAAACCGTTTGGGATACTTTAACCTACACGGTTAAAACTGTTTGGGCGTTAATGTTAGGATCTTTTGAAAAAATTTACAATTGCTTTTCTGAACCCGCTCGTTCTCCCCAAAATTTTCACCAAATAGCACCAAAAATTTCATGCCCAAATATTTCACCGCACCCTCTCAAACCCGCCTCCACCTCCCTCATCATTTGAGCAGAGCAGCGAGAAAGAAAGAGAAGAGAAGCCCCTGCCATCCGTTTACCCCCTTTCCTCCAAACTCAATCCCGATCCCTCATTCTCCTCCAAAGAAAAAGGAAAAATTTCACCCAAATCGATAAAAATCCGAGCTTTTCCAATGGATTCCGACGAAGATGATGACCTGATTCCTCGCTCCCGCGTGTGAGGGTTTTATTTGTGAGATTCTTGTGTAAACCCTATTTGTATTCTCTCCCTCTATTAGTAGATCTCCCCCCTCCTTGCCCCGTGGACGTAGGCAATTTGCCGAACCACGTTAAAATTGGTTGTACTGCTTTTGTGTGATTTGTAATAGCTTTTAGGGTCCCTCGACACGCAGTCCTAGAGCTGACGAGAGGAAGAGCTAATATCCCACTTTGATGGGATATTAGGCTTCAGATTCTTGTTCCCTTTGAAAAACAAGAATTCTTATTGCGACCTGACTCTCTTGTTGTGCTACCGAAGTACTGCCGAAATTTTCGCTGCGCGCAACAGTGTATACTTAATGATCGTTTTAGGAGATACTCCAGCCATGTTCACATTAATCTACTCAAAAGCTTATATATCTATTGTATTTGTAGGTTATGAATCTGATAGGGGACGTCAAAGAAAAAGTTGCTATAATGGTGGATGATATGATTGATATTGCTGGTTAAGTTACTTCGTTTTCCCCTGATACGGGTGTATCTTCTCTTCGGAACTTAGCGATCCTCATGGGAGCTTGAGGATAGATGATTCTCATACTAGCATGAGAATAGGGGGTGTCAAACAGTATAAGGTAACACAGGAGGAAGCGTAGAACAAGACGACGAGCAGAAGAATCGAAGTACCCAGTTTTCAGCCTGTGAGTCGACTCATGACTGTTATGAGTCGACTCATCAGGTTGAGTCGACTCATCAGGGTGAGGCGACTCACGAGCAGAAGAATCGAAGTACCCAGTTTTCAGCCTGTGAGTCGACTCATGACTGTTATGAGTCGACTCATCAGGTTGAGTCGACTCATGACTGTCATGAGTCGACTCATCGCTGGTTTTTGAGTTTTGTCCAGTTTCTGACGAGTCGACTCATCTCAGTCATGAGTCGACTCATCGAGGGTTTCCTGGTTCGTTTGGGATTCTGTTCACACGAATTCCTATTGGTTTTGGGTCTGGTTATTTACCAAATTGCCATCCACGTTTGTACACCTATATAAGGGATTGTTTTAGGGTTTCTAAACAATCAGAGAGTTAAATCAAGAGAGATTAACTTGTAATTGAGATTTGGAGAGCTTGTTCTTCAATTCTAGAGTGAGATTGTGAGAGATTGTAAATTACATACTCATAATCTAGAGGAGGTATTTTCCTTCGCCCAAAATCTGAGTTATTCTTGTATTCTTATTATTTCTCCTCAACCCACCTTTGATAATTCCGCGATCAAAGGTGCTCGCACGGCAACTCGTATCAAGTTGGTATCAGAGCTATCAGATCCTACGAAGGGGGCATCCTGTGCATGGTCCTGACTCGTTTGCAATACAAGGAGCTTGGCGAGATCCTTACTTCCTTGGAAGGAGCCCAAGAGTTAAGGAAGGAGCCCAAGAGTTAAGGAAGGAGAAAATGTCTGAAACAGATAACTCAACAAGACTAGATGCCATGGAGAAGCAGATCGAGACGATCGGTTCGACGCTCAGTCAGCTCGTGGGTCTCATTAACAAAGGGGACAAAAGAGAGGAATCTTCTTCGAAGGGTAAGAAGAAAATCATCGAGTCCGATGAAGAGAGCGAGAAGTCTGATTCGGACGGGGGAACCGAGGTTGTTAGGGCTGCTGGACATCAAGGGGGTAAAAATAATTACCAAAATTTAAAGATAGATTTCAAGGTGGAGATTCCTGTCTATGATGGGAGTGTCAATGTAGAAAAGCTCGATGATTGGATTAAGCGTATGGAGATGTACTTCACCCTCTACGGATATTCATCCAAGGAGAAGATTGTGTTCGCGACATTGAAGCTTTCAGGACACGCGTTGATGTGGTGGAAATCCTATTGTAAATAGGAGAAGAAGGCAGCTGTAGGCGTATAAAATTACTTATAGGTCCCTTAGCACAGCTCGGCACAAACCGATGAACCAACGAGGCGACGAGGTTAACGAATCGCACGCAAGCAACGGAATACATCCATTCGCATGTGGAATCAAGCCAAGGGTTGAAGAGTCAACGAGTCATCCAACCAAGGGCGGACTCGGACGAATCAAGATCAGTTTCGGACTCGAACTCGGAAGTGGATTTACTGCCAAATCAGATCAACAAATCAGAGTTTAAGTCAACCGAATCACGGACTCAACCGAAAACGCAAAACGACGAAACCCAACACCTAAGGGGGGCTCGGCCAAAGCCGAGCCACCTATGGGTGGCTCGGCCCAGTGCCGGCCACCCATAGGTGGCCGACCCAGATCTGTGTGCGGGCACAGTTCAGAGAGCCTATAAATAGGCCCCCTTGGTTCATTTTTTGAAGGGTTGGAAAATTTGGAGAGGCGAAGCCCTGCTGGATTGAAGACTCAGATCTAAAAAAGATCCAAGCTTTGGGACTTCGAGGACTTGTTCTTCCAGATCTGGTGCTCGGCGATCGTCAACGCCAAATAAGGCAAGAGTTCAAGAGGACCGGATCTCAGATCTACGTAGGCGTACTCCGGATCAAAGCTTGGTCTTTGATCCCGAGAATTAAAGGCTACTATTTCCTTGGCGAAATAGTACCCTCGGCTATTATTTCCTTGGCGAAATAATACCCGTCATATTGCGTAGATCCGACCGGATCTAGATCTCGCGGTGGTCCATGGATAAACCCCGGCGCAGGCAAACAACTCACGCAAGCGAGCGACCGCAAAACAGGAGCTCGTGATTTGTTCGACAAACAAGGATAAAAAGTTGTAATCTTTCTTTTCTTTTATTTTGATTTCCATTGTAACCGGATCTTATAAAAAGACCGGATCTTTGTAACTCAAAAAGCTGTTATTTAAGATGACAATGGAATCAACAATGAAGAAAGCAATGATTTTTACCGCGAACAGCAGCGTCGTGGAACAAATTCAAGGAGCTACTCAGGAAACAGTTCTATCCGGTGGGGTTCCTTGAGGAGGTGGTACGACTTGCGCCAAAGGTTCAATCAGACCGTTCAAGAGTACACGACGGAGTTCCAGCAGCAGGCGATGGTTCTAAACATCGCAACGGACGAGTACTCCATCTTCATGAAGTACATGGCGGGACTGAATGATTACATCCGTAAGGAGATGAAGCTGTTCACGGTCGAGACGATTGCAGAAGTGAGCGTGAAGGCAATTGCCATTGAGGGCAAACAGAAGAAGGGCAACGAAACGAAGAGTGATTCCAAACAGTCGGGAGGCAAGTCTAGTAGCTCTCAACATAAGGAAGAGAAGAAGAAGGGTGATTCAGGGAAGGCAGGATTAACATGCAATCACTGCAAGCAGACAGGGCACGTGGCTGATCGTTGCTGGGATAAGTACCCTCATCTGAAGCCGAAAGGTTTGAAGAAGAAGGAGGAGAAAAAGGCGTACGTGATAGCACAGGGTCCGAAAGAGCTTCCCGGGATGACAGAGCCCAACAACAGCCTCAACCTTATGGCGGGGAAACAGGCCACAAAAGAAGACAACGACCCAAGAGAGCAACTCTTTCTTCTGAAGTTGCAGGTCAAGACTAGCTTGGTGGATGCCATTGTAGACACAGGGAGTCAGAAGAACCTGATATCTGAAGCGTTGGTACAAAAGCTGGGATTGAAGACGGTGAGGCATCTGAAGCCCTATCCATTAGGGTGGATTCAGAAGGAAGCGGGATTGAGTGTGGTGAACCAGTGTACGTTCCGATTTGCACTCCATGAGTCGTATATTGATGAGGTCACATGCGACGTGGTTCCGTTGGATGTTTGCCAGGTTATTTTGGGCAGTCCTTACTTGTGGGATAGACACGCGGTATATGATCGGCGGGCCCAAAAGTATACGTTCACCAAAGATGGCGCGCAATTTATTTTTCGCTCGGCATCTCTTCCGCAGGAGACAAGTTTGGTGACGGTGACTCAGGCTAAGAGGTTGGTGAATGCGGGCAGGAGGTTCGTGTTATTGTTCATTCGGCCTTATGAAGAACAGCTGAGTAGGATATGCTTGTCCACATTGAGCAAGCTTCAGGAGGGAGATCTTGACAGTTTGAAGACCAAGTATGCGGACTTGTTTTCGGAAATCACGGGACTACCACCACGGCGAGGTGTAGAGCACGAGATTATGTTGACTGGCGAGAGTTCCTTGCCAAACATAGGCCTATACCGCACATCGATACAGGAGTCCGAAGAGATCAAGAAGCAAGTTCAGGAGCTCTTGGAGACGGGAGTGATAGTGCCGAGTTGTTCACCTTGCGGGTCACCGGTATTATTGGTGCCCAAAAAGGATGGAGGTTGGCGCATGTGCGTGGATTACCGAGCGCTCAACAAGATAACTATCAAGAATCGTTACCCACTACCACGGATCGATGATCTTATGGACCAGTTAGAGGGAGCGAGGTTCTTTACAAAGTTGGATCTGAAGTCTGGCTATCATCAGGTAAGGATTCGGGAGGAAGACACTTGGAAGACGGCGTTCAAGACCAAACAGGGCCTGTTCGAGTGGTTGGTGATGCCGTTTGGATTATGCAATGCTCCGGCGACTTTTATGAGGACCTTTTATAGAGGATTTTGTGATAGTTTACCTTGATGATATCTTGGTGTACAGCAGGACTTGGGAGGAGTATCTCGTTCATGTTGAGAAGGTATTTGAAGTGTTGCAGGACGGACAGCTGAAGCTCAACGGGAAAAAGTGCGAGTTCGGGAAGGACGAGTTGGTGTATCTCGGCTTCATCGTAGGGAAGGGCCAGCGGAGGATAGATCCAGGCAAGGTGGAGGTGATCACGAAGTGACCGACGCCAAAGTCAGTGACTGAGGTGAGGAGCTTCATGGGGGCTTGCCAGTATTTACGCAAGTTCATTCGACATTTTTCGACTTATGCGGCACCGTTACATGGCCTCACAAAGGCTAAGGTTCAGTTCGAGTGGGGAAGGACGCATGAGGAGGCTTTTCAGTTGCTAAAGAGGAAGATCTCGGAGGCACCAGTATTAGCGTTGCCGAATTTGTAGTGGACTTTCGAGGTGGAGACCGACGCATCTAGTTATGCGATGGGCGTGGTGTTGATTCAGGATGGGAAGCTGGTGGAATATCATTCTGAGTTGTTTTCGGGTGCTATTGCGAACTACCTGACCTATGACAAGGAGTTCTATGCATTGTATCAAGCAATCAAACATTGGAGGGTGTACTTGTTAGGGAAGGAGGTGGTTGTGCACTCGGACCACAAGCCATTGGAGTTCTTACATGCCCAGACGAAGCTACAGCAGGCACGGCACATGAAGTGGATGTCGTATTTGATGGCTTTCAACATCATTATTAGGTACAAGAAGGGGGCGACAAACAAGTTGGCCGATATGTTATCTCGTCCGTCGGTAAAAGCTTTATTGGTGGCGATGCGTATTCAGTGGATTCGGGAAGCGCACACCTCGCGTGTGCAAGGGCATTTTGGCATTCAGAAAATGCTTCTCAATCTACGGTGACATGTGTTTTGGCCACGGATGCTTGATGATGTGACCAAGTATGTTGG